ATATATATATATAATTTTAATGAAATTTACCTATGCCTATATTTTGAATTAAATACTTAATGGATTTATCATGATGGTATATGAAGGGAGACTACGATGAAGCCTTGCGTTGTCCGTGTCTCTATGATGAAGGGATCACTGATGCTAGAAGTGCTCTTTATAAGGTACAACCCTATATCATTTTTCTTTTAGCTGAAGATAAAAAACAGAAGGTACTGAGTTGAAGGCTTATATATATACATAGTGTGTTTGTCTCAAAATAAACTCAACTATTTTTGTAATGCATGATGGGGCGGTGATGTGGTGGCAACACAACAATGTAGTTTTGTTGTTTGATTAAATTGTATTTTGACAGTTTTTTTAAAACGGTGCCGCTGAAATCTGCATTTTTTCATATGTCCTGGCTAGGTGCAGTAGCAGTTTTCTAGCCGCGGTCTAACTTTTTCAAAAAAAAAAATGTAATTATCATCATGGTTTTTTGAACATCAGATTATTTTTCTGCAGTTTCATGACTTTTAATAGAATGCAGCTGTCCCAGGCAGGCCCTAAATATTTGACCATGTTATTTCGATGTAAATTTTAGGAAAAATAATACAAAATAAATTTTAATTATCATATATGTTTGACATGTCAAGAAAACCTTGACAACAATAATTGACTAATGTATTAGTGGTTAAACAGGCAGTAATTTATTCTCTGAAAGATGACAAGAAAGCAGAGGATTACTACAAAAGTTTTCGAGAAACTCGAAATAAACTTCATTGGCCAGATGCCCCGAAAGAGAAAACTCCTCTCTACGACGTCGTTCATGATTTTAATAAGTTTCAAACCGTCGTAAAAAATCTGAAGAAGGAGATCGAACGAGTTAAGGAGAGAAAAGTTAGTATGCATGCATAGATTTGTATGAAAGAAGAAGAAATTGAAGAGTTGAGAGAATAAGAGAATGGGTTGGAAAAATGGTTTTCTAAGGAAGGTTAAGTAGGATGGAGCTCTTTGATATGGCCTGTCTTTGGAAGTTCTCATCATATGGATTATTACATATTTATTGTATAATTGAATATTTTAATTTTAAAAAATAAGTTAAAACCACATATTTTTGGTATATGAGAATAAACACTAAGTTTAGAATAAGCAATTTATATTTTTTTAATGAGGGACTAAATGCAATACCAATGGCTATTTTTATGGCCTCATATTTTTTTTTAGCTATTGAGTGTTTTATAAAATCCTTTTTATTAGCCACAATTTCTAACTTTGTTTTAAAAAACAGTTTTTTATGGGAAAAAAAAAAGGAAAAAAAGATCTTTTCTTTAGTATAAGATTTACATACAAGACTCACAATTTTTATGTATTTGCATATCTAATATCCAAAATTATATTTTTAACATTAATATCATTTTACTTGTGCATGAAAAATGTATATTTTACATTTTTAATGTTAATCATAGTGATATTTTACTGGTGTCACTGTGCGTGCTAAAACATTATTTTGCAGTAAACATTATTTGTAATGTAAGTTTGAATGTGAGCATGAGGATAAGTAGAAACAATGAAATAGCTAAAACAAAATAATAATATATATTGTGCTAATTCACGTCCGGACACCGTACGTCCGAAAGGCCAATCACTGGGCATCACATCATCATACACCTAATCAGTAGACGACATGACGTTATCTGTTATGACAGAATATTTTTTATGTTCCCATGTTGCTTTTCTTTTAAGGGATTACAATTTCATCCTCCCTATTAAGTTTTGAAATGAGCAACTAGAATTTTGTATTTTTAGCTTTGAGATGCGTGCCAAGTCCAACATAGCTCTCTCCCTTAGGCAATGGTTACTCGGCTTCTTAGCTTGTCCCAATTAAGTTTGCTCATAATATAATATAATCTAAAAGCTTTAAATAACCTGCAATAAAATATAACATTTTCAAACACATTGTCAAAGGCTTACAATTTGAGCGATGTTTGGTATAATTAATCACGTTATGTGAACGTATTTGTAAAGTATAAGGGTGTGTTTGGAGCAGCTTGTGCTTATTCAGATAAACAGTTTATCCTAAAACGCGGCCTGCAGGTGGCCCGCGGGATTCGACCTACGACGTGCGTTTAGTGTAAAAACCCAACTGCGTTTTCAAAAAAGCTGCAGAAACGATTTATATATATATATATTGTACACTATCTACAATTTTTTTTCTTCACGATATGTAAATCCTCAATATGTCTCAGCCTTCATGATATGTAGATCCTTCATATGTTTAGTCTTCATCATGTGTAGATTTCTATGTGCAAACTTTTTCTCTCTTAACTATGTGAAGTTGAAAGACTTCCATGTGTTAAGTTGTTCTCCTAGTGTAGTTCCTAGGATAGTTTGCCTTCAAGTGTAAGTCTTCAGTATATGTAGATCCTCCATAAGTGCAAGTCTTCACCACATTTATAGCACATACCATGTATTTTTGGCCTCTATGTTTAATATTCACCATGTGTAATTTTACTCCATTTGTGATTTTCTCCATATGTGAGTTTGTGAAATTAAAAGATTTTCATGTGAGTTTCTCCATACGTGTTTATATGATTAATAGTTTAGCAAAAATAGAAAACTGAAAGTAATCCCAAACTCAGATGAAAATTAAATTGAGTAATTATGAGTTAATTAAATTCATTTAGGTTTCATTTAAATAATTAATGCTTTATTTAGATGATTAATGGTTTAATCAAGTTTTTTTATTAATTGATTTAACTAATAATGTTTTAATTCCATTAATTTATTAATGAGTTAATTAAGCAAGTTTAGAAGTTAATTTGTGGATTAATGACTTAATTTGATTATGTTAATTTCAGACAATGATGATTAAGCTAATTTAAGGTTTTTGGGTTTAACTCTGAAAAATATGTTTTTGAAACGGTCGAAACACAAATTCTGTGTTTTTGATATTTTAAAAACACGTCTCATATGTTTTAAAAAAAAAAAAAAAAAAAAAAAAAACAACAAAAACTTAAACACTATTTTTTTTTTCAAAAACAAAAAATAAAAAATAGAAGGTGATCCCCAAGAAAGCATTATACTTTGAATCATCTAAAATTTTAAGCTTCCAAAATACATTTTGAAAATTTAAATAACATGTCATATTATGTATAGAAAAACTTCGTGCATAAGTAGTTGGTGAGGCTCATAAAATTTTTCAAATGTTGTATTATAAAGCCTTAGCTTAATATAATTTTCTAGCACACTCATAAATAAAAATGCAACCGACAATCATATTTTTATGTAGAAAAAGGCTGAAAAGACAAAAAAATAACTAAATTTGGAAGAATCAGACTAGAAAATTGTAAGTATAGAGGTCTACCGTTTTTTTAAAATGGGAATATCAAATTACAAAAATTGAAAATCAAAACTGTATAGTATTAGTTTGACTACAATGGTCATAATGCGGTTACGAAAGCTATGTTTAGTGGTTACAACAATCATAGTTGGCTACAAAAGGCATAGTCGGTTGCTAAAACAATCATAATTGAGATACGACAACTGTAGTTGGTAGATCCAACAATCGCAGGTGGTGGTCGGCAATGATTAGTAGGCGTTCACCTGTGCTTCTCTTTGTGAGTTATGATTCAATTGTGAGTTTGCTCTTCTTCTCTATCTCCCTTCATGTAAAAAATGGGGGTTATTTATATTTTTTTAGATGACATTTTAATAAATTTTGCCAAAATCTCAAAACATTGCATCGGGCGAGTTCATATTGATTATCATGATCATAAACCATTCTTTTACATTTATGTTCCTCTGATCGAGCCGCTTGATTTGATTATAAGGATACCAAATTTAAAGATTACGAAGCTTTTCAAATTAATGTCTAAGGCTATTCATACATTTTAAGTGATTGATTTAGATTTATTTGGACTCAGAGTGAATCACTTTCAGTGTCATTGGGCAATTATTATCAAGATACTCGGTTGAATTATACTTTGTTAAAACTATAGCTTGAATGAAAAATCTTACGCGGAAGTGTTTCGTAGCATAATCTTAGTATAATTTAGTCATCAAGTTAGCGTACATCGAGCCAAAAAAAAAAATAATAATAAATCCAATGCTTTATGAATTCGAATTTTTTCATTCAAATTTGCTCGTGTTCCATCTTTTCTTTCTATATTCCGTCTATTTTGTAATTCTTCCTTTCATGGTGCATCATCTCGATCATCATCTCCAACAATATGAATCTGAATTTAAACACGTCCTAAATCTCCCGAACTCAAACTTTAACCACAAAAGAGATCTAACAAGTGACAATGTCCTCCCTTCCCCTTTACAACCCGCCATCTTCTCTCTTCTTCTCTTGACAAAGGAACACAATTTATTACAAGTATTGTTGTTTTGTGTCTTCACATTTTTTTCTATATGTATGTACTTAATATGAACCAACTACTGAGGGAAAAAAATTTGTGTAAGTTGTCCGCATCCAGACAACGGCGAAGCTTGATCATGACCGAAGGAAAAAAAAAACGCTGTGATCAGTGCATTGCAGCTGTTATTCGGACAATGCTGCTTCAAATAATGTACGCAAAATTTTCTCCTACTGAGGAGAATATATTATGTGCGTGTAACGCATTTATGACCGCGAATAAGAGGAGAGACAGGCATGCTCTTCTCTTATTCGATATTAGGTGAGTTGTCCTAGCGTAATATTTTCCCTCGGATTTCAGAAGAAAAAGAACAATACGTAAAAGATAAAGATGTTTTTGTACATATATTTATTTCAGATGATCTATATGTAATTATCACAAAAAAAAAGTGCTTGAAAATAAATTTTAAAAAAAAAACTAATTAGAAATAAAATCAAAAATCAATAAAAATTGGTGTTAAAAAAATGATAAATTTTACTTTAGTTTATTCATGTCTAGAAGTCGGAAATGAAGAGCTTAAGGTTCTGTTTGGCGCAGCTGCAGCTTCTCAGTTTTTCAGCTAGCTGTCTGTTTGGTGCAGCTGTGTGAAACCAGCTGTCGAGCAGCTGTTTATGAAAAAATTACCATTCCGCCCCTCTTCAATAAGGCGGTTTAAAACAAAATATAATTAATTTTTATATTAAACAAATTATTTCTTAAGCAACAAATTTAAAATAATAAATAATTAAGTAGTTTTAAAAATTAAGAAAATTTATATTTATATCAAATAATATATTTATATCAAATAATTAA